TAATAAGTGTGGTGGTACGTCAATAAAGTCAATATTATTATGTGTATGGTCGTGCATGTTGTTACTGTTGTGAGTTGGGTGTTGGTTAGTAGAATTGTTTAGGTTTGAGTTGTTGTCAATGTTATTATCCTCGGTTATGTCCATGTCTTCTACGTCATTGTTCGTTCTGTCAATAGGATGTTCAGCAATGTTTTGGTCAATCTTAGGTTCGTTTGTATGTTGTTCGTCAGTGTTTGGTGATTCAGTGTTTTGTTCATGTTTGCTTGTTGTATGGTTTTCAATTTCATTTATTAAGTAAAGTTCGTCTACTTCAAAGCTGTCGTCCATGTTAAAGTTGTCGTTCATGTTTAAGTTGTCTACATCAGCCAAAAGGGCATCCTCCTCAATCTCTGTAACATACCTAATTTTAAGAATTTTTTATCACTGCACATTTTTGTGCAAAGTTTAGCCGAGCAAAAGCACGCCCTGAGAATTTCTGAACACACCCTTATAAAATGTGTAACAACAAAGCAGGCTTCAATTCATATTCAAAAATTCCAAAACGACCATACACTGCACAGCAATCATGGAAATTTGGGGGCGCAGGACAAACTTTGACTTGGGGGCTCATTGGCTCTCGTGCCTCCATGTTCTAACACTACGATTATGCCGCCGGAAAAGTTTTGAAATCTGAGGTCCCAGAAATGGCCAAATCCTGCATTCTGGAAGTCTAGTTGACAGTTATATCTATGCGGTATATTTCACTGCAATTCTTTATTTGGGCCCTCCTTTAACTCGGATCCCAGGGCAAATTGCACCCCTCTGAGCGACCTTGACAGCACCTGCAGTTACGACTATCTATGACAGCTTAATTTCACAATAACATGACAGAAGAAAATAAGTACTTTCCTTTTGGCAAATGAAAGGCGGCTTACGGTCTTTGGCGTGATCTCTAGAGGAGTTCCAGGGACATGCACCCACAGACAATTTTGTAATCTAGGCACTATAAAAGGGCATCTCCTGCAATGCGCGGGGACATTCTATAGAATTCTGAAAATTATACAGTAATTACAAAATCTTAAGTATCATTTACTCCATCTTCCAAACCAATAAAGAGATTTTTGGTGAGAGACTTTGTTCATCTGATGAACCATAAGTATGTTATTAGTGCGGACGTTCGATAATTTGGCAGTCATCATTTCAATTTCAATTAAATCATTCTCATTCAAAATGTTTCGCCGGATTAGTTCAGTTTTTCTGCTCATTGACATTGTCTCATTTTCTTGTGTTAATTGACAACTTATTAAAGCAAATTTTATCACTGCACATTTTGCATTTTATCACTGCACATTTTACTTTTATCACTGCACAAATTGGTTATCACTGCACACTAAAATTAGGTATGCTCTGTAAGGTCAGGAGTCAGGTTTGGGTTCGGATCTCTATAAGAGGCAGGGTCGGATGCAAGGTTGGATGCAGGGTCAGTGGTAGGTTCAGTGGTAAGGTTGGGAGTGGGTTC